TATTTCACATCATTAATCAGAATCTGCAAAGTAACAAAAATAAATGTAGTAGAGTAAAAATACCAGGTTAACCTCTGAATTGTAGTGGAGTAGAACAAAGTAGTACATGCTGCTGTAATAAAACATTTCCCAACTTGGGATCAATAAATTATCTTATCTTAAGATGATCGATGGCTACTGCCATATTTGCTAAATGTGCATCTGAACCTTGACAAGTGCATGTTTCAGGCTTATCAATTAACAACAGGAGGGGTCACAGACATAAGACCAGCTGTTAAACAAAGCTCTTCTGACCTTAGCTGTCATGTGGGTATATTAATGCTGCCCATTATGGACACAAGCAATTTTCACCCATGTATTAATTATATGTTTTAAATTTGATAACACCAATGTGTTTCGTATCCCCTAAACCTCCAGGGATGTATACAGTTTAATACTGGCAACTTCTAATTGTGGGAAATACGAAAAACGTCTTTTAAAACTATAATTCCCAGTAGAGACGTGCCATAGAACATGTTGCGAAACACACAATAGCCAGCATGTGTAATTCTGGTCCAGTTTTGGATAGTCTGGCGTGGTTCCATTCCATTTCAAAGAGCTGTTTGACACTCGGCGTAACCTTGTCGCACTGCCACTCCAACATCCAATCACAGAGCTTGAGGGCTAATCACGGGGTTTGTAAAGCAAGGCGGATGTTGTAGTCCCAAACGATAGCTGGGGATTCTGGGTAGTGTAGTGTCTTCGGAAACTCTGTAGTGTCTAAACTCCGAAAAAACAATTTGTTTCTCCGAATCGAAGGTTAAAAACACAAAAGCATTGTACACAATTTAAACCAATCAATATTGTGTAATTAACAAGGATAAACTGATGTTTTTTAGTGGATGAATAATGGAGATATCACTGTGTAATCATTTGACAGTGTGGGGAATACTTCCGGTTTTATTATGAAAACTTCGAGACCGGAAATACTGTTTTCACCCACGCTAACTTTACATGGAAGCTGCCCCATATACAGTACACGTTCTCCTGGCGAGACCTCAAATCATCTTCGTATATCTATCAAACTGTAGATCCTACACATCCACTGGACGTAGATTATAAAAGTACAATATACACTTCTCGCTAGAAATCTAATAAAAAAGCATTTGAATGGCCAAACTATTCCACAATTTAGGATTTTCCAGAGAGGGTTATTTGTGAATAAACGACCCTCCGGAGCATTTGCAATCGACAGGAGCATGTTGTTTCTTACACGACCACTAGAGGTGCTACACTTTAAAACGTGACTGGGTCGTATTTAGCTGCTGAACAATCGACCTATATATAGAAAACGAGAAGCATGGCTGAAAGTGGGAGTGCAACTGCCGCTGCGCCTCGGCTTGTTGACAAAAAAGACGGCAGAAGCGAAATTTGGAAGTATTTTAGCTATATCTCTGACAGTGAGGGCAAGCCTACGGACACCACGAGGCCTGTCTGTCAGACATGTTTTAGATCCCTGCAAACCAAGGGAGCCAACACATCAGACTTGGCTAAGCACCTCGCCGAACGGCATCCAGAGCTGTTTAAAGAATTTAAAGACTAACAGGTTAGCGAATGTGATAGATAACATAATTACATCATGCTCAAGACAATGCCCTCAAATCTAAGTCAAACAAGTGTAATTTATTTTGTGACAAACGAACGTTTTCGTAGTTTGACGAGGCAATTAATGGCAATGATAACCAGAGGTGTGGACTCGAGTCACATGACTTGGACTCGAGTCAGACTCGAGTCACCAATTTGATGACTTGAGACTCGACTTGACAAAATCACAAAACACTTGCGACTCGACTTGGACTTGAACACCAATGACTCGGGACTGGACTTGGACTTGAGCCTTCTGACTTGAGGTGACTTGATAATTTAATTCAGAGGTCTCCAACACGCCGATCGCGAGATGCCGCTAGAAGAGCAGACTCCCGTTGGGGAGAGCAGAATCTTCAGCCGCTCCTACTCTTGCTGAGAATCCTTGCAGGCAGGGGCGGGACTTTATTTAGCTGGGCCACCATGCGGCCAATCATATGCAGTGTTGTGTTAGTTACTGAAAACCAGTAACTAGTTACCATTACTAGTTACTTCATTTCAAAAGTAACTCAGTTACTTTACTGATTACTTAAGTAATGCGTTACTGTGAAAAGTAACTTTTTTTTTACTTAGAAAAAGGGCTCCCATTAATGCCCTTATAGCCTTCCTTTCAGTACTGTTATTGCATTGGAGAATAATACAATCTGTTGATCAACTTGACATGCATTATATGCAATCTGGATTGCATCGATATTAGCTGGCTTTCCATTTTTGTATATTCTTTCTCCAGGTAGTTGGAAAAAGTTTTCCGTCCCATATGCCGTGTGCCGCCCGGACATGCTATCATGCTAACTAGCTCCCTGAAAGCGGGTGACTCCACTGTAGCAATAGCCTGCATGTGTTCTACAACATACCGTGCAATGGCTTTATTGACTTTTCCCTGGCTAGCAGTCCCTTGGTTAAAATCCAGCCGCTGTTGCTTAGGTGGAGGTGGAGTGGCGTTGGATGAGTCTGGGTCTGTGCCGGTCTTAGTTACTAGCTTCATCCCAGCATGTTGTTTTTGCAGATGTTTTAAAAGATTTGAATTACTGGTTTGGGCAGTAGATAGGATCTTTGACCCGCCAGGACACAACTTACATTTAACAGAAATGTTCTTTTCTTTGTGCTCGACAAAAGTGAAATAGTGAGAATATCTCCAGGTGGAGAAACTAGACTTGAGCTCCGCCGCCGCCATGATAGTCTTGTTAGTAAACAACACAAACACGCCCACAGCGCGTCTCCGCATGTGACACAGGAAGTATCCAAGTACATTTACTCAAGTACTGTACTTAAGTACAGTTCTCATCTCTGTTCGCCTGGCTGTTGACTATATAAAAAAACGAACGGAGTAACGCACCATGTAGTAACGGTAACTGAGTTACTGAATATAAAAAGTAATGCGTTAGAGTACTAGTTACTGCCAAAGATAACGCCGTTACAGTGATCATATGCGAGGACACACTAGGATCATACCATTATGTGAAAGAAGGGTGGGGGGCACAGCAGGTGTAGTAGTACAGGCCAGCTGCACAGAGCGACGGGGAGACGGATTTAAATGCAAGTGCGTCGGAAAAAGTCAAGAAATTAGCGAAAACCGAAAAAAGAAGCAGCATCTGGCTGCATTTCAATGATATTGGAGAAAGCAAAGCTGAGTGCAGGATTTGTAAAATGAAAATAACCTTTTTTGGTTACCTTTATTTTGGTAACCACTCAGGATTTACTATCAGAGGTGCGAGAAGTTCAGATCTTGTACTTGAGTACAAAAGTACCAGAGTGTAGGAATACTCGGTTACAATAAAAAGTCCTGAATTCAAAATGTTACAAGTAAAAGTACAAAAGTATTAGCATCAAAATATAGTTAAAGTACCACCTGCAGAGGGATCTAGATGCAGGTGTTCTCTTCCCCATAGAGACCGCCTGGCTGCACATTATCCCTTGCATAAAGATAGATTGTGGGTCCCTTACAACATATACATTCTGGTTACCTCAACATCAGGGATCTTATCAATTAAACTCCTTCTGAATCAAACCGTCACGGTAGCCTTACCTTATTTTTCCCTCTTAAAATAGAAAAAAAACATGTTACTTTACCAGCAGAGAGAAAATGGATTATTAAATTATTAATTTGACTAATAAAGAGCAATTTGATTATTAAGTATTATTCTGTTGATCGATTTCATTACATTTGGTGAAAATCACATAATGACTTGTTTATGACTCGTTTTGTCAAAGTTTAGGACTTGGACTTGACTTGAACTTGCCCATCCTGACTTGAGACTTGACTCGGACTTGCAAAACAATGACTTGGTCCCACCTCTGATGATAACTGTCTAATATGGCTATCTTTTTAGCTAACTTACCAATGTGGCTAACATCTGCAATGTACATTTTGTCAATAATTTTAATATTACCGTACTATTACATGCTAATAAAATATAAAGTTAACTATCAAAGAAATCACATAAACTCAAGTATAAAGAAGAGACCATGTTGTAAGAAAACACTTAACAGATAAACTACAATTGTATTCATCATGCAAATAATAAAAGAAAAGTATCGAAAAACAATCAGAATCGCAATTCTTGACTTGGTATCGGTATCGAAACCAAAATGTTGGTATCGTGACAACACTAGTATGGGCAGCTCAATTAAAAGCAGCGGCAAATAGGTGCCTTTTTAGTTGGGATTTAAAAATAGGAAGTGTTTCGAGGAGGAATTGTATTTTCCATTCTTCACTGTTTTTAGAGTCTTTGATGTGTTTATCTAAGACATTCTCTTGTTTTCACTCACTGTAAAAAAGTACTAGCATAATATGCTCATTTAGTATGTTGTATTTACTGTGAGAATGGTGCAAAAAACGTGTGTTATGCTGTATGATAGCAATAACGCACACATTAGGTGGCAGCCTATTTTCCACCATACAGGTGCACTGTATGCAAGGTAACATTTATAGCAGTAATCTTCCCTTCTGCCACTACCCTGCTGGCAACAGTATTTTCTAAATCTCATATATATTTTTCCCATCACATCCCCAGAGCCTGCTGTGTTTCACGTCCCCGTCCAATCAAAGATGCAACAAACAAAGCTGTCATATTGATTCAGCTTCTCCCTTTCAAAATGTAAAGTCAGCTTATCAAAAGAGCCATTCACCATAGTGGCTGCTGCATTCACAGAAAAGCTCTAATTGGGGCTTTTGCATCTGGAAGACATTAATTCAGAATGTCTCTGTCAAAACAAACCATAAATAAAATGATTAAGAAATATGCTCGGCTCTCCCCGCAAGTATAATAAATAACACATCTACAATCAGGCATTGACATGTGGCTCAGTGCCAGCAATTTGAGGTTTATTTCAGACCGATGCCAACATTTGTATCTGTTCCTTTTTTCTCTTTTCAGATTAGAGACAGCAAACACAGAGGAGGTGACCCTTATCATATCCTGAAGGAGACGAGACATCGGGCATGACCTTGTGTTTGTCTACAGTTCCAAAGAAGAGCCAGGGAGAAGCCTTCATGGCCAGAGAAACATTGCTTTCCTTGCTCCATTGAGCTATTTTAACCCTGCTGCAAGCTGCACTGGGGGGCTCAAACGTTCCCCTGACTCCACCAGGAGGCTCACTCCAACCCATCTGCCAGCTCAGATAACCCTCTGATAGTTGGCAACCACATGTTTGAGGTGACTGTGAGTGACTGCCGCCGCCGCCCATTCTCGAGCAGCAGCAGCTTCCTGCGACCCCGATCTGCACCATGCAGTGGAGACGGCGGCACTGCTGTCCTATCAAGATGACCTGGACCGTCAAGCGGTCGCTCTTCAGGACCCATGTGGCCGGCCTCCTCTCGCTGGCTCTACTCTTCACCCTTTTCTTATTTTTCAGCCATCAGGATTGGCTTCCGGGACGCAGCGGGCCCCGGGAAAACCCGCTGGCCTACACTGTCAGGGGCTTCCGCAGCCCCAAAGGCGAAGCCAACCAGAGCAGCTCCCTGCGGAGCCTGTGGAGGGACACGGGGTATGTGGCACCAAAGACTCTTCTCAACCTCAGCTCTCAGCAGGCAGATGGGGCTGCGGGGGAGGCAGCAGCAGCAGGAGGCGGAGGGGGTTCCAGGATGGGGGTAATGGGACTTGGGGACTCCATGAGCACCAACAACAGTTTACAGAAGGAGATGGGTGTGGGAGGGAGGCTCAGTGCTCAGCCCTACCGCTACATCCTGAACGAGCCTTTCAAGTGCAGGGACAGGACGCCCTTCATCATCGTCCTGATCGCTGCAGAACCCGGACAGGCCGATGCCCGTAATGCCATCCGTCAGACATGGGGGAATGAGAGCAACTCAATGGGCTTAGGGTTTGTCCGTCTTTTCCTGCTCGGCACTGGAAAGAGCTCAGACACCTACCTGCAGAGCAGCATAGAGGAAGAGAGCCTTGTTCACCACGACATCATCCAACAGGACTATCAGGACACTTACTATAACCTGACCATCAAAACGCTGATGGGCATGAACTGGGTGGCCACCTATTGCCCACACGCCTCCTACGTGATGAAGACAGACAGCGACATGTTTGTCAATACCGAGTATCTCATCCAAAAGTTGCTTAAACCCGAGCTGCCTCCCAAACAGAGGTACTTCACCGGCTACCTGATGAGGGGCTATGCACCAAACCGAAACAAGGACAGCAAGTGGTACATGCCGCCCGAGCTGTACCCAAGCGAGCGTTATCCGATATTCTGCTCGGGCACGGGGTATGTGTTCTCAGGGGACATGGCCGATCTGATCTACCAGGCGTCCCTGAGCATACGAAGGCTGCACCTGGAGGACGTTTACGTGGGAATCTGCCTGGCCAAGCTGCGCATCGACCCGGCCCCTCCTCCCAACGAGTTCCTCTTCAACCATTGGCGGGTGTCTTACTCCAGTTGTAAGTACAGCCACCTGATTACGTCCCATCAGTTCCACCCCAATGAACTCATCAAGTACTGGAATCACTTGCAGAGCAACAAGCACAACGCCTGTGTCAACGTGGCCAAGGAAAAGAACAGCAGGTACAGACACCGAAAGTTTCACGGAGAGAGGCCTCCTTGACGCATTCTGTGATTACAACCCCTGCTCAAGAGACAAAGGGAGATGAGCACACTGTTACTACAGTCTTGGAGGGCATATGAACTCAGTACTATACACTATATGGGGAAAAGCACATTGTTTTTGGTATTGTGTACAGTCGATGATCCAAACTATTTTTTTAATTTGAGGAAAAAATGTTAAGTATTGTAAAACTGTTGAGCTATTTCTAAAACGGAAGATTGTCTGATGATGTGGAGCATAACGTGCTGCTGCTGTCTCAAGGGTGATGTTGAGGATAATTCAGGTGCCAAGAGAAAGGTGGTTATTCATGCTACAGTTAATGTGAAGGCTCGCCTCTAAAGGGTAATATACAGTATGTCACACTTTACAAAAAATAAAAATAGACAGTGGTGTTTACACAGAAAAAGAGAAATGCACATGTATTTTGTCGAATGTTACACTACCTAACTATGAATGAAAATATATTTGACGTTGACCAGTTATGCTGCCCGGTTTCTCAGTGTTTACTTTACAGGTTTATCAAAGAACATGACTCTAAAGAGAAGGTTTATCCATCATATACTGTATTTTTTTTTTTTTAAATCTACATGGAAGCACTCACGTCCCGTCAGAGATGACTGAGATTGTATTTTTTAAAGCTTTACATTGAGTATGACTCTGCACTTGAGCAAATGTGCAATGAATTAATTAACAATTAAATGTACTGAACTCAAACTTGCAGTTGTGAGTGTGTTTTATCTGTGAGTCTTTTATACAATTAGGTCTCTTCAATAGCATTACTCTGTACATAATCAGCATGGGGCTGGGACATAATTCACTCACGATTGGTGTAGTTTCTACATTGTTATGATTTAAACATAGTGATATTTTAGTGGGATCTGTTCTAAAAAAATATATTATTTAAGATGGTCAAAGTCAACTTTATTTTCAATCTTCTGTGTATGAGATACAGACAGGGAGAAATGCTGTTCCTCACAATCCAGAGGAATACACATAAATATCTAATACATACCAGGCATGAGAATCACTCACCTTTCGGCGAAATTCGCCGTTTTGAATCCAAAATAGGTCGTTTGTGTGATTCATGTAGATCTGCAATAACAATATTTTTGGGGTATGAGGGGGGGGTCTGGGACCCAGAGTAATCTGCGGCCGCGAGCTGTTATGTGCCATCATGACACGCATGGTGTTCTTTTTTATATATATTATAATGCAGCGCGAGCTGTGTGCTCGAGTCTTCCTGCCTGTCGGCTCTGCTGCTCCGCGATGACGGTCTAGCTTCAGCAGCCACATTACGGGTGCGTTCGTTAATATTAACTGTGCGGTCCGGAGTCACCGTGGTACAGACTGGACCGCTGGTGAACAGCTGTTAGAACGGGCCGTTCAGGTGTTCAGAGCAGAGCGTGATGTAAACTGAAAAGTTTTTCTGTCGCAATATTATCGTTGGGCAAGCTAGCATACATTGTCACTATCTGCTAACGTTAGCTTTAGCCTTCGTTTTCTAATAGTTTTTCATAGGCTATAAACGGAGGTAGTAAAAGTAGAAGTACTCAGATTTTGTACTTGAGTAAAAGTAGAAGCACTCAGATCTTGTACTAGAGTAAAAGTAGAAGTACTCAGATCTTGTACTTGATTAAAAGCAGAAATACTCAGATCTTGTACTTGAGTAAAAGTAGAAGCACTCAGATCTTGTACTAGAGTAAAAGTAGAAGTACTCAGATTTTGTACTTGATTAAAAGCAGAAATACTCAGATCTTGTACTTGAGTAAAAGTAGAAATACTCAGATCTTGTACTTGATTAAAAGTAGAAGTACTCAGATCTTGTACTTGATTAAAAGCAGAAATACTCAGATCTTGTACTTGAGTAAAAGTAGAAGTACTCAGATATTGTACTTGATCAAAAGTAGAAGTACTCAGATCTTGCACTTGATTAAAAGCAGAAATACTCAGATCTTGTACTTGAGTAAAAGTAGAAGTACTCAGATCTTGTACTTGAGTAAAAGTAGAAGTACTCATCTTGTACTTGAGTAAAAGTAGAAGTACCAGAGTGTAGGAATACTCTGTCACAGTAAAAGTCCTGCATTCAAAATGTTCCTCAAGTGAAAGTAGAAAAGTATTCTCATCTAAATATAGTGAAAGACAGTAAAAGTATAGTCGTTGTGCAGATTGGTCCATTTCAGAATAATATATATGATATGTTTTATAATGATTGATCATGAAAGTGTTCTCAAAGCTGGTAAAGGTGCAGCTAGTTTGAATGACTTTGTATTCTGCAGGGTAGCTTGTGGATTTACTCCAGGTGGAACTAAAGTCTGATTTAACACTTGGTTATATTTCACATCATTCATCCACATCTGTAAAGTAACTAAAGGTATTAAATACATGTAGTGGAGTAGAAGTACACCATTTACCTCTGAACTGTAGAGGAGAAGAAGAACAAAGTAGCAAAACATTGAAATACTTAAATTAAGTACAAGTATCTCAAAATTGTACCCAAGTATAGTACTTGAGTTTATGAACTTAGTTACTTTACACCAGATGCCATAAAGATAGAAAGACTAAGCCTTGCAGAGGCATGACAATAGATTTTCAAAATGCTCAACAGTGCTGCCAAAATTATAAACTGACTGCTACACAATTAAAATAAATGTTTTTATATATTTCTATTAGATGTGACTCTTTAGCGTTTCTGTTATTGTTAACACTGCTGCTTTAGTTGTTTTGACTGCTAAAATCCTCTGTTATTCCTCATTTTAAAGCCGATATTCCGTGGGGTGGGGGGGCTCGGGTCCTTGTCACCTTTTCCATACCTGATGAGTTTGCATCCCTGATAATACTTAGTAAGGAGGCCATAATATTTTTGACTCATGGCTGAAGTTAAGTTTCTCCAGCTCTCCCCAGGTTGGCAAAAAAATGCATCTCAAAATGCATCAGATTGATGCTTTAAAATATGGAATATTCAAAATGTTCTTCCGGGGAAGCATGCCCCCGGACCCCCCCAGAGGGATAATATCCTTCTCACCTTTTTCACCCCTGACCCGTTTTCATGCCTGATATACGTATATATATATATATATATATATATATATATATATATATATATGCACATACACATAATCAAACTTAGAGACATACGTATATACAAATACTGACATTAGGAGGAGAGGTGGGAGGGATGGTAGAGAGTTTAGAGCCGTGTGGAAAAAGGATTATGATCACATTTTATTATATCGCTGAGGGGAAATTCAGTGTTTCACTGGTGTTATTACAATTACACACATAGTCCCAAAATACACACACAGAACAAAAGGTATAGGAAGTAGTATATGACCTGACACTTGAACATAAGAGAAACTTGTAGAATTTAAAATGTACATCTCGTAAAAATTACTTAAATCACAAAACATTATGCCAGTTAAAGATTAGCATGGATACCTCCAACTTGTTTTACCTGAACTCTGAAACACCTATTAACACATTTAAGCATATAAGCAAACCAAACAAGGTAACATTTACCAAGGCGGGGCAATTACATTTAATATACAATTATTTTGGAAGTTATGTGACAGCTTGAGTTGCTACAGTGACATCTTCTCAGTTGACTGCTGCTGATTTGATGGTGCTAATTGTAGGTGATTCAGTGAGTCATGTTTGTGATAAATGTAATAACATCCAGAGGTGGGAGAAGTACTGGTAGAACTTGTACTTTTAAATAAAAGTAGAAGTACCAGAGTGTAGGAAAACTCAGATACAAGTCAAAGTTCTGCATTTAAAATGTTACTCAAGTAAAAGTATAAGCATCAAAATATACTTAAAATACCAAAGGTATTCATTATGCAGGTTGGTCTATTTCAGAATAATATATATTACATGTTTTGATTATTATTGATGCATTAGAGTGTTATCAAAGCTGTTAAAGGTGCAGCGAGTTTGAATGACTTTGTATACTGCAGGGTAGCTTGTGAATTTACTCCAGGTGTAACTAAAGTCTGATTTAAGTGTTGATTATATTTCACATCATTCATCCACACCTGTAACTAAAGGTTACAATAAAAGTAAAAGTACAACAAACTTGGAAATACTCAAGTAGAGTACAGGTATATCCAAATTGTACCTAAGTAAAGTACTTGAGTAAATGTACTTAGTTACTTCCCACCTCTGTTAATATCTGGTGCAACCTGTCCAGGATCTTTTACATTCGTTTTGGTGATTATGAGTAGCCAGAATTCTCTCTTCAAGCTCTTTTTTCATTGCTTCCCCCTTTATGACCGCAGGCTGTTGAGGAACAATCATGTTATCTAAAAATCTAATTCTGAGCAAACCAGGTAAATAATGTGTATTTTCTACAAACATCACCAACGATCATTAATAAAGGTAATATTGTATTCGGTGGACCTTGGTGAGATGAATTAATTTCCAAATCGAAAAACATAACATTCAGAGAAGTTCTGCTAAGGTGGAAACAATGTGATGACAATCAGGCTTAGTCATGGGAAATTAATTAAACATTCTTCAGTCTCCCCGGGGAACATAAAATATTCAGCTGCAAAAACACCTAAGTTTAGATTTTTAATTAAAGATGAATACATATTATGTTGAAAGGCAGCCGGTGTGAATCCAGACGGAACTGCCTGTGCAAAAGTGTGTGTTCAGTTTAAGGGAGGCAATAAATAAATAAATACACACTCCAGTGCTCTGGGCCACCAATAAAGAAAGCATATATAATTGGTTGATGAGTTGAAATAGCCTGTATCAGATGTGGGTACTATTAATAAACTAATGGAAAGTGGGGGCTCTGCACTTCCTCCACTACACATCTGCCAGTCTCTGCTTTAATATGTTGGAGCGATTCTGTTTAGGGAGCTGTAAAATGGGTAAAGTTCACACAATGGTATATTTTAAGCTGCTAAATACTGAGCAGACACTTATTAAGGGAGGAGGAGGCTGAGAGGTAAAGACAGCTGAGGGAGAGAATATTAAGATGTTCATCTAAGATAAGCTATACTGCACAAAGATTTATTTGATACTGGAGCCACTAGCAAAGTAGCAGCTTTATTTGTTAGTTTGTGCGCAGTCATGTGAGAGAGAATGCCATCCTTTAAACCTAAGCTAACTGTTACAGTTTAGGACGTTTTTTGGGAAGACATCGTTATCTCAAAGCAGTTTTAAGATGCAATCTGTCAGCTGTATCTGGCTGATAAGTGAGGTATGCAAACATCTTTGTAAAAAGTCTGGGAATATCAATTATATTCACCAATAATACACCAAAATGATGATGGCCCTCACTAATTAAAAAAATAAATATATATATTAAGAGAAGGTGAACATAATAAAACAGGTCATGATATAAAAGAAGGTCAACAATATAAAACGGTTCACAGTATAAAAGAAGGTCAACAACATAAAAGGCGGTCAAGTTGTCAAGTAGATCAAGGAGACTGTAGCATGGGCCATTGAAGCAACCAAACATATTTTGTGCTGGTCTGATTTGCAGGGCTGATATACAAGCTTCCCTTTTTTAGGTAAAGTTGAGAGATTCATGAGAGGGTTGAAATAATTGGAGAAATGAATTCCGACTGGGAGAATTCACATGTACACCCCCCGAAGTCAGTACAACTCGATTGATGTCTAACATTTTGGTGCACCAAACATTCATGGTTCACCTGACTGAAAATACTGTAAACCTTCTGAAAAATCAAATAATTAAAGCTTAT